TCGGTGCAATCGATTGACACATGGGCGAATGGTCGTCCACATTTATCTGACGCGAACAGCAGATCAGACACCACATTCTCACGGTGGAAGTGAGCTAGCTTTTGAAACGACAGCCAGAATACACTTTGGTACCAGAAATCGTCTCTACTTCTTTTTCCTCTTCCGGGGATGTTGCAAGGAATATTTTATCTGGACCTCAAAATTTTTCGCATATAGACTTACATATGTTGCAGAGACAGCCCTTGCATCACTAGTTGTCTTTGTCTATTCTGTAAACATTATTCGGCAAGACAATTCAAGTAGCCCTAGATTAAGTTCAAAAATAAATACCTTTTTGCATGTTCTGGTTTCGACATTAACCCTGAGACCAAGCTGAACGCTAACCTAAACCTGAACCAACATTTCATTAGACCTTATCCTACAGCCACATTGAGTACGCATTGTTGCCATTACCTAGATGTCGTTTAACCACAGTACTCACAATTACCATAAAAGAGTTCGTGCTCGAGGAATTCGGCACAATTTCCGTTATAGTTAGATCACTCAGTAAGCTATGCTCTAAACATATTAAGAGTCAGTGTGAACAGCTCGAGCAGCTGATAACTAAACTGACTTCCCTTTTAAAACCCCGTTTTTGAACATTACCCTTCGTGGCAGTAGCGCGGATCTAATTTTCATTTAAGAGTTGATCCCACTCACCTTTGTAAATAATGCTTTAATAGTCGCATCAACATCGTTCTATTGACAAGGTTCGCTTGCCTCCTAAGCACACATTTAGGCCTGGTTTTTCTCGAAAAATCGAATGTCTACCATGGTTGAGTAATATTTGTAAATAAATGACAACATCGTCGAGGTGCGTCCAGTTTTTATAAGTCTAAAATTGCCCCTCAATCCGTTATTGTTTACTCCCCCATTATGCAGAGCAGGCGGGCATAAGGTTCCTATCGATATCACATTTATCAGTATATGATTAAGCAGCAGGAGTCATCTGCAAACCTAGAGAACGTCGTTTGGCAGCGATCTTCTCAGGCTCCAGCAGGGAGTTAGTATGCGTTTGATTTAATAGAGAAACCACGTAAAAATCACCTTTAGCCAGCTGACAGTTAGTAAAATGTACATTTATTTCAGAAAATCAATAATTCAGCAAAAGCATTGTAAAGCCGAAGAGAGCGGTAGATGACCATAGTTGTGTTATAAGCGCAGCGGAAGTTCCACTTGATTCATTTCCAGGCAGAATCTTCAAGGTAAACGTTTTTTGACTGTCATTCTCCGTTCCCTTTAAGTTGATGACAACCGTGCCATTTCCCATTGGTCCATTGAGTAAAATTTCTGATTGCTCTGAAACACAGCGAATGAATAAAGCCGTTTTCAAACAAAATTAAAATATATTATATATGTTAAATAGTAATATTTTTGTTTACTTACGTTTATCAATTGTGTAGTCGATCGACGGATCTATCGACTACGAAGTAGAAAAGAAACACAGCTTTATGCCTGGCGAGTAATTTGTACGGAGGTTAACGTTTGTACAAATGCGTGTACTCACCTTGACGATGAACAGCGCCTGAAAATGCTTTGTACTCTTTATCTTACCGTCAGCAACTTCAAGCTCTCCGAGTGACGGCGTTTGAGGATTTACCCGAGCGTCTGAATTGCATTTATTAAAAGTGTTGAAAAAACGACGGTTACCTTTAATCGAAATATAGCCTACGTCGCCCGTCCCATTATTGGTTACAAAAACTTGTGTTCTTTCAGTTGGGAAATGTGTGCCGGCGAAAATTGTAAAGTTCGTAGTCCAATCTAAGCAGAAATATTGCAATATTTTATAAATTCTTTGTTCACGTTACCCAAGACTTGAGCACACACTGTTGTCATTGGATCACACGTTGGGGCAGGATTCTGTAAAAACTAAAATATTACTTTAGGGATCATTCAGAAGTGTAATTTGTTCGCAAAGAATGGACATTAAAATGTAGGCTTAATTAATGAGAAAAACAAGCTTAAAAGCAAATTGGTTACTCATGGGTAGATAGAATAATCAAACTGGTCCGTTCTGATGTGTAGGTCTTACCTCTGCAATAAAGTCAATATCCACTTTCTCGTTCATGAGCAGTGTCCCAGGTGGTCTGTATATGGTCTGCTCGTTGGCTTTACTAAGCACTAGTACAAAATAAAGGGGCTCAGTTAATACATTTTTATGGATGACATTTTGGAGAAAAAACAATATGAGCGAAAAGATGGTTAACTTACCCAGAGCGAAAATATCAAGTATAACGACAAGGAGCTTCAGCAGGTGCGTCATTTGCAGTCTACGATAAAATTAAGCAATTATTCAGCCACGGCCTTTTATATTTGTGATGTGGTGCGTAATC